TTTGATGTTGTGGTGAAATGACAAAAACAATCCCAGCTAAAGTTTTATACGAATAGTAAACTAGCAATATTAAATCTATAGAATGTGCCTTCTATATTCTATGTAATAGTTCACCCAAAAATTGCAATTCTGTCATCATTTACAGTATTGACCTTCGTGTTCCAAACCTGTAACATTTACGTTCTTCTGTGGAACAAAACATTTTGGTTCTGGTTATTCCAGGCAACACACTAATTACATGACTACGGAAACTTCGAGCTTCAAAAAGGAAATAAAACCATATTGAGATCATAAAAAATAGTCCATACCACTCTTGTGCTATATTCCAAGTCTTCTGAAGCCATACGATAGATTTGCATGAGAAACGGACTGGAATTTACATGGTTTTTCAATAAAAATATTCCTCCCTAGTGAGTTGTTAACTACTACGAAGCTAGTAATTTAGTCAACTCGAGAACCAGCTCAGTCAGATCCAGTTTCGGACCAACCAATTCATTCAAAAGGTCTGACTCAAATGAATGATTCATTCACATGTCAGGCATCATACTTGAGCAAAGCCTTCTTGTGGCCTGAGAAGACTCAGTTTTATGATACTTTTGTTGTTTTAGTGTCACTGTTTTGGAGCTTGAAAACCTCCGTCCTTGACTTTGGAAGGTGAGTAAAGGCTGAGAGTTTTCATTTTTAGCTGAGTGATCCCTGGTGTTTCATGTTTAAGAGCCCTTAAGAGAAGAACAATCTGGTTTATCAAAAGTGAACTGTGACTTCTTCAGTACAGTTTTTTTATTTTCCCCATTTGGTGTGTTTTGTTGCTTTAAAACTGCTTCATTGCAGTTTTGGAAAACATTTGGTAATACCAGTGGAAACGCATGAAAACATCTTTCTGTGGTAACCAATGTGCTTCATGAGATCATGAGAGTCAATATAAAAGGGAGCTTTTGAATTTTATGATAAGTAGTATGTGACTAACTTTTGTGACAGGATTCTGAATCTATTTTTAACTAGATGCCGCCTTTTGTGTGTAAAGCACTAGCAATCAGGCACAATTAAAAATGGTATGATGTCCACTCCTTAAAATGTATACATTATGATAAGACTTATATAATTAGAC